TGTAATGTGATGGCTGTTAAAAAAATATTGAATTACCAATGTGTATGCCACATTTGCTGCCCCTGTCCATTCATCAAAAATGTCAAAATTAGGAAAAAAATAAAAATATAAAAAAAGTTTAGGATCATTTTTATAAATATAATCAAGTTCACTACATTTTATTGATTGTGAAATTAGTAGTCTTATCTGACATGTATTTTCAAACCTGTTTTCACAATGGTTACTTCACATTAGGCTCAAACCATTTTACTTTTTAAGCTCTTTTAACCATCAATATCTTTGTTGTAAGTACGCAAAATGCTGGTAGTGAACAGAGTTTGTGCTTGGACAAGCTTTAATAAGGTAAAACTACATAACATATAATTTGCACTCTCGAATTCCAACCCCCAATTTGTACTTTCCAACAACTTCTTTAAAACAAGCCATTCTATTATTTTTTTTAATGTGTCCTCCCTCAGTTTTGTCTATTCTGAAAAGTAGGCCGTCTTATACAACTAAAACTTTATTGATACGCATTTGGTAACAGAGAGAGCACTGGGTGATGTAAGGCTGCAGAAAGAGAAGGATGATCTGAAAGGACATAACTTCAGCTGCACCCACAGACTCCTCCACAAAACACAACATTCACTAAACCGCTACAAAGCAATACAAAAATATGAAATACAAAAGATGGTTATTTAAAATCATAGAAGCCCTTTTTCATCAATATGTACCAGTACTAAAAAGGATTATTCAGTACCACTTTATATGGTAATACAGGAAGTGCTCGACTGTGTTTTTAAACTCCAAACACTTTCACTAGAATCATGTAGATTATTTCAGCCATGGAATTGTCAATCTCCACTGAACCAAAGGGAAAAGGTAGCTGTTAATGTGAAAACTACCACTACATGACATCACAAGGTGGAACAGAGCATTTTGAGCTTTGGAGAATTAGACAAACTGATAATAAAGGATCACTCAAACGTGTGAATGAAACAAGACACAACTCCAGGTATGTTTTGTGAGGAGGTAACAACATTCTAACATGATTTAAAGCTCACAAGAGACTATTTTATGTAATATAGGACCTTGATTAGAATTAGCAGTAATCAGTACCAAAACCATCATTAAAAGTGCTACAAATTATGTCATATCTGAATAAATGTACTTAACAAAGGTGAAAAGTTCATCTGTAAACTTAACTACAACTTTACTACAATGTCTGGGCTTTGATAAATACTTTAAAAATGGCAAATAATTATTATCAGCAAGACAAAATTTGCTCTAAAAAAATCCATATTAGACAATTCCCTGTTTGAACTGACTAACCTTTCCTAAATGGGTGTACTCCTAACCCACTGCACTCAAGTCTGTGAATAATAGTGTTCCAGGATATTTAAATGAGAGGTCAGACTTCTTCAAATCAAAAATCAAGTCCAGATGAAAATTTTTGGAAAACTGCACTATCATCCCAAAAAAATCACTGCAATTTTAAAGAAGAATGAGAGAAGATGAGACAACTTCTGCCAAGGCACTGACTTTACAGGCTTTAAGGTAGCCTATACATTACTAAAATACATAACTCTTGGATAGCATTTTAGACTAGCAATACATAGATATTTTGAATTGTATTAGGTTATCTTATATAATGTCACACTGCATTTTCTATGAGAGATAAGAGCACAAATCTAAGTGTCTACAGTCTGTTACATAAGCACGTTAAATCTCCAGGCTGTATAAGGCAGAGTGGAGGTCATATCTTTTTGCTTGTCTGGTGAGTGCCTTCTGGTCATGGATACCCAGAGCCCACTCCACCCCCTGCATGGACCAGGAACCCCCTTTCCACTGTGAGCTACCCCTCTGAAGGCCAACTGGCAAAGGCACACTTCCTCTGACTAGCCGTCCAAATCTAAAACAGGCAATATGCTGCTTTACATAACTCAGTGGGAACATGCCAGTACAGTACGTAGTAGTAGTGTGGCTTTAAATGACACAGCAGACAATAGGCAAGTAATATGACTATAGTAAGAAAGGGATACAGTATGGGTTGTAGATGGTGATCTATATTTTCTTTAGCAATATTTCATTCTTCAAAATTTGTTATCGCAATAGGCCTTAGTCAACCAAAATCTGTATTAGTTGACTAATCTTTTTTATGTAATTAAAAATATATGGGACAAAAGCAGAAAGGAGAAGTGAGAGAGTTACCTGAAGATTTTGTATTTTTTGGCATTTATATGTAAAAAGGCAGACTCAACTCATGGTTCTGATTCGTTTAGAGAGCTTTTGACATTAATCGACAGGTCTTGTCTTTACTCAACCAAGAATTTACTACAGTAATATGATGGTGTTTGAGTGGTTCTGCTCTCACTCATGTTTGCTCCCACCAAACAAAAACATGCATAATAATTAAATCCCTCCAGCTAAGGTAGTCCTGAACAAACCTAACTCAAGAACTCCTCCTGGCAGGTTGCCCCAGTGACATTGAAGATTGGGTCAAATGCAGGGAGGAAATTACTTTAACTTTAAGTCATAATATAGAGCTGTGTAATTAATGGAGATCGATTTCTAATTATCAATAATAAGGAAAGGGCTCAGTGCTCTAAAATTTAATACCACATGTAATTTTCAACACAAAACAGAAGACCATATCTTTTAATGTCTTCCAGTATTGACACTAGTTTTGGGAGTAGGGTTTGTATAAATTCGTATCTGGTTATCAAATAAGGCTTATACAAGCTAAGATCAAAATGGGTAAACCTGGACAAAACTAGGAATGTGTCAAAAACCACTAGTAAAAATAGAGCACCAAACAAACACTATTACTGCAAGACCTCAAGAACCACGAGCAACAGTGAACCATCCATATGCTGACAACCACTGTGTAAAAATAGTAAGATACGCCAATCAACCATTTGGTCTCTATGATTCATTATCAGTTGTAACAGAGTTTATCTGCATGTCTGCTGCCAGCAAATCCTGTCAGGTTTCACACCCAGAGCTCCTTTAATTGAATCAGAATAACAGGATTGACAGATAATGGCGTCTGTGTAAACAATGAGGTTCATTACTGTGAATGGCCTGGCTCCTGGGTGACTGAGGTGAAGAGGGAGGGCACCAGGTTTAGCCAGAGGTCAAAGTCAAAATGAAGACTTTTAGGAATACAATACGTTGACTTTTTAACTGTTAATTATGATGCAGTGTTGTATACACCAACAAAACAGCACTTTTTTGGTTTGTTTCACATATGTTAGTGGGTATTTTGGCTCTTGTTTACAGCAGAGTTGCTAGGTAACACTTATGACAAGATTTTTAGCAGAACTTTAAATATTATGCTACGTTTTAATAAAGTGTGTTGTCTAATCTGTCATGTGAATTTTAAGTAGTCTTGTTTGATAAAATTGTTTCCTTTGAACCAAGATGTAAATGCTTGGTTTCATACAGGTAAGATGTGGAAACCAGTAATTCTTTAATTTTTCCATGTTGGTAAAAGCTTTGCCACTAATTTTCCATTACAAAATCAAGATGCTTCAGTGCACACTGTTGCCAACAGAGTGCATCAGATCTCTAATCCTATCACTCAAAATTAAAGTGAAACAGAAAGAACAAGAAAGGTGCTGCAAGAAGACTTAGGTACTTTCTATCCATTATAAGATGGACGTATTTTAAAGGTCATGTAAAAGCAAACAATTGCAAATATTAGAAAAGATGGAGGAGGACAAAACTCACCTGATGTGTCCCAGAGACTGAGCTCCACTCTTTGCTCCTCCACGTCTAAACAGGCGGTGTAGTTCTCAAACACTGTGGGGACATAGGTCTGCAAAACACCAAGATATAGCCAAGAATTAAAATTAAGTAGGCTATTAATTAGTGCTGTGGAAAGTCATTTAGTGCTATCGTTTGTATGTGACTGGACTTTGAATATATTGTAGCCTACGTCATGGAGCTGGTGATTTTTTTCCTCATCAACCGTAATCCTACCCCCAATCCCTCCTATTATATGGATATTTATTTATGGTATTTTTATTTGTAATGTATAGAAAAAAGTAAGCTATGAATTTCCATGCATTTCTAGCAAAGACTATCTTATATATGCCTATATCTAACTCCTTTTAAAGAGTCTATGATTTCTAGCTATAGTGGATCAAAAAGTGAATTACGTTTGTTTTTTTTTTAGCTTTTTTCAACTCACTATAGACTTTTTGGATGAAATTGAAAAATAAGCTCTAATAAAACATGATCCAACATAAACCATGGATTACACGAGAAGTCAAAGCACGTGAAAAAATGAAATTATAAGCAACACAATTTGTAAATCAATTAAGTAAAATGGACCTCTGCAGTCTAAAAATCTATTTGTATCTAAATCCACAATTTTAGAGCCACGTTGTCCTAAAGTAGCAGTAGTGGAGTGACTTACCTCTGGGTAATAGTCCTTTGCCAGTACTTGTAACATCGCAGTTTTACCGCATTGGACATCTCCGACCAAAACCAGTTTGCACCGCGACACAAAGGGCTGAGTCATTCTGCGCTCCTTCATTTTTAAATCAAATCTGTTGGTGGGTAAAAAGACGAGGAATTTAAGAAAGATGGTGCAAAAAAGATAGTGATAAAGTTGGTAGATGGCTCAGCGGCGGAGCGGGACTGAAGGATCATCAGTCAGGAGCCACTGCGGAACTTTATATTGTCGAGTCAACCAATGAGCGAGCAGCGCAAGAGAGAGAGAGAGAGAGAGAGAGAGAGAGAGAGAGAGAGAGAGAGAGAGAGAGAGAGAGAGAGAGAGAGAGAGAGAGAGAGAGAGAGAGAGAGAGAGAGAGAGAGAGAGAGAGAGAGAGAGAGAGAGAGAGAGGGAGGGAGGGATAGAGGAAGGAAGGAAGAAACGAAGGGAGAAGGGAAGAGAGAGAGAGAGAGAGAAAGAGGGGGAGGGAGAGAGGAGGGAGGGAGACAGAGAAAGAGAGAGAAACACAGAGGGAGAGAGAAAGAGAGAGGGAGAGAGAGAGAAATCGAGGAAGGAAGGAAGGAAGTTAGAGGGGGAGAGAGAGAGAAAAAGAGGGGGAGGGGGAGGAAGGGGGAAGGGAGATGGAGACAGAGAGAAAGAGAATGAGTGTGTGTGTGTGTGTGAGAGAGAGAGAGAGACAGAGAAAGAGAAGTAGAGAGCATAAGAGGGGGTGGAGAGAGAGAGAGGAGTAGAGAGCATGGGAGAGGGAAGAGAAAGGGATTGAGAGAGAGAGATAAAGAGAAGGAGAGAGTGAGAGAAAAAAATAAAAAGAAAAAATGGGACAGAGGTGAAGGTAGAGAGAGTGAGGCAGATTGTGAGAGGGGATAGAAAGAGAGAGGGAGAATGAGACTGAGAGGGGACGTAGAAAATGTGTGAGGAGGGGTTGGGGGTTAAGTGTTAAAAGAGAAAGTGTTAAAGGAGGAAAGACAGAAAGAGTAGAGGGGGAAAGAAGGACGGGGTTGAGAAAGAGATGGAGAAAGATAGATCACAGCATTTCTCAGATTAGAAGAGGGAAAAATCACACTATAAAAAACACCCCAGATTTCCTAATCTGTTCAGAGTAACATCAAGGCTATTTTTGCCTTGAGAGTCTTAAGCTTAATCAGTCAATTATTAACTGATACAAATGCAAAGGTCCTATATTAAACAAAATGTTTTCTTGTCAGCCATGTTATAATGTTATATCTCATGAAAAACAACAACTGGAGTTGTGTTTTGTTTCATTCACAAATTAATATATCATCTCCAAAGCTCAAAATGCTATGTTGCACCTTATGATGTCATGTTTTAGTCAGCTTTAGTTGAGTAGCGATGGGCAATTCCAGGGCTGAAATCAGTCAGATGATTCTAGTGAAGGTGTATGGAGATTAAAAACACAGTAGAGGACTTCCTGTATTACCACATGATATCACTAGTGTTTTGTGTGTTAAACATGTCTGAGTGAAAGAAGAAACAAAGCTCCAGGGATGTTTTTGATGACATTATAACATATACAATACATAAACAGTCCATTTTATTATATCAACTTCTTTTCTTCTTTTCAGGGGCATTTGGGTTATTAGACTTGTTATGTGAGTTCTGTGTGTGAAAATATTATTGTTTTCTGATAAATTTAGGAAATAATGCAAAGTGTCAATTTCAAAGTTGCCAAATCTTAGAAAGAATACAGCATCTGGGCCTAAGCTAAATATAATAATGTCAAATGAATCTACTCAATGATCTGTCACCATATGTTTACATGTACAATCAGCACAGCTCTGTCGGCTATGATGAAGAGGGCAGATGGCTTCATAGAGAAAATGTAGCAAGAATCTCATAGTGTCAATGATCGAGACAGAGTGGAGCACGAGGAGGTCTGTTCAGTGAGACAGACACAGACAATGCATGTCCTAATTCCACTTTAGGTTGTGAATTTGAGTTATACAGACAAAATGGAGTGGTCACAGAAGCTCAATAAACTCAACAAAGTCAACAGACTACAGAAATGTTGAGTATATATGTTGAGAATATATTGTAGGCCAAATATTAACCTATACAAAGCAATTCTCATTTGGTCAAAAACTAGGCTTAATTTGGCTATTTTGGTCTCTACTCATCAGCTGCCACTTGAGAATGATAGATTCAAGCCCATTGCACACGCCTTGTCTTGGATTTAAGTTAGAAGCTCAAAACACCTCAAATCTGAAGTAGCCTACCTGTTATATTGCCTGAATAAATCTGTGTAAGTCATGATAAGAACAGGATCATTGCCATAGTCACATTTTTGACTTGTTGTCTGCTGCCCTCTGGAGGTGGCCTGAAAAATAACCAGACAACAACGACCACGTGCTTACATGAGAGTTGCATGCATCTGAATTGCATTAAATCAGTGGATGAAATGACCTACTTTACCGTAAACAGCCACGCAGGTTTTCATTTTTGTGATACCATATTACAATCTGCTGCCACAAAACACTGTGGCGTCCCTGTCAGTCAAAAACTACATTTCCCAGAGGTCTCTCAAGTTCAGCTGTTGTAAGCAAGTTCTGTAAAAGACGTGTGAAAATGACGAAATCTAGAGCCATAAGTTACTAATAGACAGACGATAAATGGGAACAAAACTAAATTAAATACAATGTTTATCTGGTCATTTTTGTATTCATTTCCGGGTTTGTGACGTTTCGAGATTTCATTGGTTGCCTCATTTCCTTCTGTCTTTTCCCGCGTCGTAGCAAAATAGAGCTGCACCAGACTGTCAACATTCGTTTTTGTTTTATTTAGTTTTAATAGAGGATATAGAGGAAATTTTACCAAAGTTTAAGCCATGCCAACTTCAGATTACGACCCGGCTTCTTTACCGGACTTGCTACCTTTGTATTATAGGCGCCTGTTCCCCTTTGCACAGTATTATCGTTGGCTAAACTATGGAGGAGGTGAGTCCACATAAATGATCATGTATTCTGTGGTAGCTTTTATGTCTTCCTACAAATATTATTACTAGATGTCCCTATTTATGTTGGAAATAAACAGTTTTAGCCTCTGATAGCCTAACGTTGTAAATGTCAAATTATTGTTATTATTAAATGCATTGTAGGCCACATCATATTTTAAAGATGATCTGTGTAATATTTGGGTCAACCATCTGCTAGTCTTCATAGAAATAGTTACTGCATTGCCTGGAATGTTCCATAGTGTGGCATTAAAATTATTTATCTGCATGGAGAGTTACAGTCCAGGTCTGTGAAAGAGGCGACCCCGCTCATAACAATAATGCATATTTTTCAAGGTATATCGGCTGGCTCTAAAAACACTTGTAACTGAATAAGTGCAACATGGAGATTTAATACCATAATTGTCAAACATTTTAGGCAAAATAATATAATCTCAATTGAGACAACCAGGTGGTGGACCCTTCTCCTGAAAGTTACATAATGCACAGTTTGGTTTTTTCATAACCTCCGTGAGAGAAATTGATACTAATTTCAGATATTTACACCGTAATTTGAACACCTCTATCTGCAGATTAAATGTCACAGATTGTTGGATCCTTTTCAATGTCTAACAGCATAAGTCTATGCATTCAAATGTGTGTTGTCCTTTGTCCGCAGTGCAAAAGAATTACTTCCAGAATCGTGAGTTTTCCTTCACTCTCAAAGATGACATCTATGTCCGGTACCAGTCCTTCACCACTCAGGGCGAGCTGGAAAAAGAAATGCAAAAGATGAACCCCTACAAAATCGACATCGGAGCCGTGTACAGCCACAGGGTATAATCATGTCCAGATCATTTTATATCAACTGACTAGGCTGTACAATTGACAGCATTTCGATAGTGATTGCCATTACTGATCAAATCATTTACTTAAAAAGGTGTAATTTTATTTTTAAAGTCTGATTTGAATGAGATTGAAATTTGTCCCATAAAATCTGGAGAAAAGATATTCATCAAACATAAACATTTTTGATCGCAATTCAATTCAATTTTGATTCATTGTACAGCTCTACTAACAATAGGAATATAGGTGTAACATAAGTTATTATTTCACAAGTTGTATGCTTTTGCTTCCAATATTTGCTCAATTAATTGTCATGATTATATTTTTTATATTTCAGCAACGCTTTTATGGCCTGCATTGGTTTTGTTGTAAGAATATATGGGGTTATAATTACCTCCGCCAAGGAGGTTATGTTTTTGCCGGCGTTTGTCTGTTTGTTTGTTTGTCTGTTAGCAACATAACTCAAAAAGTTATGGACCGATTTTGATGAAATTTTCAGGATTTGTTGGAAATGTGAAAAGGAAGAACTGATTTCATTTTGGAGGTGATCCGGAAGAAATCCTGGATTCTGGATCACTTTGAAATTTTAGTTAACATTGTGGTAAATGGGGCCAAAAATTTTGTTTCTCAATATCTCGGTTAATTATTGACCAAACCCCATGAAATTTGACCCAGGGATGGACAATGGGATCCTCTTTCATATTCCAAAGGCTGATCCAGATCTGATCCAGAAGACTGATTTTATCGCAATTTATATAAAAAATGGGGGTAGTCCTTGGCGGAGGTCTGCGCTCTCTGAGTGCTTTTCTAGTTAAAGTATGTATTTGATAAATGTATGTATATTACATGTGTGTGATCCACAGCCAAACCAGCACAACACAGTGAAGTCTGGGAGCTTTCAGGCTCTGGAGAAGGAGTTGGTGTTTGATATTGATATGACTGATTATGATGACGTCCGAAGCTGCTGCAGGTAAAACCAAATGCAAAGATGTATACACTTTCCCATTTATTCATACACTGACTGTATAACATGTAGTGACTTAAAAATGTTGATTTCATTACAGTGCTGCAGACATTTGCTCAAGGTGCTGGACCCTAATGACCATTGCAATACGTATCCTGGACAGAGCTCTGAGAGGTCTGGGAGTAATTTATTCATCTTTAAAAACTTTTTGCCTGCTGTGCTCATTCATATATAATTTTGTTTTTCTAATTTTTGAGGTTTAGCTTTTGAAAATATTTGCATTGCATTTTTGCATTTGATGAACTGATCTTCTAATTGCATCAGCTTGAATTTATAAATCAGATGTTGCCTCCCAATGGTTACAATTTCCCTTGAGTAATTTCTTGGACTACTACTTTACACTTATTAGTATTTTAAGGTAACACTATTTTAACTTGAATACAATTTTTAGCTACTCTACCCACCTAAATGGATTTTTGAGTGTGTTAACTTTCATATCCATTCATCTTCTAAGTTACTGTTTAATAATATAACTGATAAAACCAAAAACAACAGATTAACACAGTTTTGTGATATCTGCAGAGGACTTTGGCTTCCAACACCTGTTGTGGGTTTACTCTGGGAGGAGAGGGATCCACTGTTGGGTTTGTGATGAAGCGGCTCGGAAGCTGTCTGTGGCGGCTCGTTCAGCTGTGGCCGAGTACCTGAGCCTGGTCAAGGTAGGAATCCATCCAACCAATTTTTAGAGAGAGATAGTTTTTAAAGATACAGTATGTAACTATCTAGTGGCCCGCCTCGAGACCAGGTAAGAGTCAGGTTTGTGAAACTGCAAGCCCACTCAGAGTAAGGACACATGTTTTTCTACTATTTTCAGTGCAATAAACGCATCCAAAATAAAGATGCTTTTATTTTAGTCTATTAATAATAACAACAGTGAATCATGGTCTCGATTTTTGACAAGATGAATCCTTTGTTCATTTTGATTCATACTGCTACAGTATATTATGCAACCAGATATTGAAGTATATATTACAATAAAATCAGATATGCCTCTTTAATCTGTCTGTAGGAAGTTGTAATTTCTTTGTCTGAAATTTTCAAAATTATGGTATTAGACTTTATGCTTATTACAGTCAAATTGTGTTACAGGGTGGTGAGGACACTGTGAAAAAGGTGACTCTGTCTGATCCAATTCATCCTTTCATCAAGTATGTCTATGCAAATTTTTTATGTGTAATAGTAATTTTTCTTAAGTTATGAAATCACAGGGAAAAACTAAACTATCATTATTCTTCATTTCCCCTCAGGGAGTCCCTTCTGGTGGTGGAACGATACTTCACCAGATATGCACTTCATGAACAAGACATTCTCGGGCGAAAGGAGACGTTAGACAAGGTACTGGCCCTTGTACCGGAAGATATCCTTTAACAAACCTTGAAATACTGTCATACTATCATAGTGTCATACAGATTATGACACTGGTAATTATAGAAACCTTCTATAATTTTAATATATATTTTATTTTAAAAGTTCATGTTATATTACCTTAAAATGGAACTCACTGGTGCACATCTACCTTTACATTTCCACATTTTTTTTATTACCTTTTCAAATCTAACTATTGAGTAATTAATATTTCTAAACCATTCTGTTTAGAAGAATGATTTGAAACTTAAAGAATACAGTTTTTCCATATAATCATACATGTTTTTAATTGTAAATAACAATCTGATATGGAATTTTGGTACTTTATTGTCATCTCCTTAAACATTTCATGTATAGATTTTTCAAGAAGTCTATGGGGAAATTAATTTGAAAGGCACTTCTGACAACCACATGTTGGTGGACAATGCTAAGCTCCATATTATATAAAATATATATAGTGTTACAATATGTAAACTGCTCCTTAACTTGTTTCATACATGTAAGAAAAGAACTACAACAGGACTTTCAGAATGAGAAGAAGCCAGAAACTCGCTGGAAATTAATCAAAGACCATGCTCTTAAAAAAAAGGTGATGTCCACATAAAAGCTATATTTATATGATTTTTTTTGTCAGGAAAGTGCTAAAAAAAATATACAATTTTTCATTAGGCTGCTAACAAGAAGAACCACCATTTTGAAAAAGAAATCATGTTGCAGTATTGCTACCCACGCCTTGATGTCAATGTCAGTAAAGGGGTCAACCATTTACTGAAGAGCCCTTTCAGTGTTCACCCTAAAACAGGTTGGTAATATCTTGTGCAAACTATTTATAGTATAAAATAGTATAAAGTATTTCCATATATAATTAATTACTCATTGTTGACATGCCCTATAACTTGCTATTCTTTGTTAGGTCGCATTTCAGTTCCCATTGACCTAAAGGAATTGGAGAAATTTGATCCATTTGCTGTGCCCACAATCAGGTTGGTGACAGTCTTTTGTCTTGTGTAGCTGCACAGTGATTTAAAATGTGATGTTGAAAAAAATATATATACAATTTTATCAACTAAAATTACTAAATACCTCAAAATATAAAGACTAACAATTATCAAAAGGAAAGACTAAAATGACTACCAACATCATTAGTTTCCTGTGATATGGATCCTGCTTCTAATTAAATGAATAAGCGCTGACTTGATGTGTTTTTTGTTTTTGTGTAGTTTAATTTGTGAGGAGCTGGATCGTCCCAAACCCGGAGAGGATGATGAAGAAGCTGATGATAAGGAAAACGAAAAAGATGCAACAGAGAAACGGAAAATCCGAGGTACTGGGCTGTGTCTGTTATACTGAAATCTTGTGAAAAAACTGAAGTTTCACTGAGTTGATTTTCCAGAATATTCTAGACTTAATTGAAATTTGTGATGGATTGATTGCTGGATTGTATTTTTGGTCAATAGTGCCATACAAGAGCTCTAACACAGAAGACTGAAATGCACCAAGGATGCTTCACACTTGTGCATAATTCATATCAAAATTGGACCCTAATTCTTAACTACTGTTGCCTAAACTTGTCTTTTGAATGTAAAGGTCTAAACTTTGCAAGTTTTTGAAATAATTACAACATAATAATGTAGGATAGTTTAGCATCTTTTGCACTATGCAAATTTGTATTTTGATTCATGGTTGACCGCTAGTTTTATTATTTTGTTACAGACTACAAAAGAACCAGCCTAGCAAAATATGTTAGGTATTTTGACCAGTTCCTTGAGGGTGTTGCCCGGTCTTGGAAAGGAGAGCTTCTCAGAAAGAGTGGTGAGTTATGGTAACAAAATGCCACAAAAAGTCTAGAATTGATCTCATCTTTATCTCTTCTCTTCTAGATCTTCAGAAAGACTTTTAAATCAGAAAGAAACACAGATGTATCATCAAATGCATCAATGTTTCAGACTGGTGTTGGGTTATGTTTAAGTTTTTTGTTACTGGTCTTGCAATATTTTGTATAATTGTCTTAACTGCAAAATAAATAATGTTTTAATAATTTTTGAAATTGTATTTGCTGTTTAATTGTAAAAGGAATAAAGTGTATCATACTTTACACCAGGGGTCTCCAACCTACACACATTCTGAAAAGTAATAATTTGGTTAATTAAGTGCTTATTACCGTTTTAAATGTAACATTTTGGTGCTTGACTTCGTGCATGAATGAATGGACAATGGTTTTATGCATCAGTAGATCTAACTGATTAATGTTAATTATTTTCCAGATAAAATTACGGTTTTAAAATTTAGAAACAAAACAACTATTCCTTGTCCAAAACTCAATATTCAGAGTGAAAGTGTATGGATTAAAACAGGGCTAATAGATGATCAGAACCAGTTCTAAAAAGAAAAAAAGGAACATTGATTTCCCCAAACCCAATTAAGGTATATTTATGAAAATGGGACAGAGATTTTTTTTTCCTTCAATTTCTCTACCTTTATTATTTCTACTCGTACAAAAAAAATAGATGTTTTGTCTCTTTAAATCCCCCGGAACTAAAACTTGCCTCTACAAACCGGATATGGTCGCGAAACTGGGGTCAGAAGTTCTCTCTTACAGCCATCTTGGATATAACGACCCAAGTCGGTGAGTAACTCTGCAATAATCCACCCTCATCCGACTGAATTTAACTCACTTCCTATCTAAGAAAGGTTTGGTGCTTTTCTATATAGCGTGGACTTTTGGTTAGAGGGGTTATTGTGCTTGATTTTGGGGAATGATGTCCTGAAATGGTCTTAGAAAGTTGTGTTCATATGTGACAGATAGCCGGTTCAAAATGGGGGAGCACGAGACTAGTTTTCTCTATACAACTGTGTAGTTTTGACAATATGTTGCCAGTTTCCAACTGTGTTAAATTTATTTTAGAAAGTGTGATCTTATGTCACATTAGAGCGCCAGACATGGTCCATACCAGATGAAGCTGCATGATCATGATGATGCTACATGCTAGCGCTAACCAACCCGCTGTGTGTGCAATAACATCTGATGCTAACGTTATCCAAGCCGCCAGGACGAGCGTTTACTAGGCTTAGAAAATGCGCCATAAGTCTTAAGATTCCTTATATGATTGTGCTGTTTTGTTTCTGTATGATCATCATGGCTGTGTTTATCTTTGTCTGCAGCAACCATGCCTGGAGAAGCCACAGAAACGGTCCCAGTTGAGCAGCCCCAGGCAGAGACTGGTATGTACACACCATGATTTCACTCGACTTGAAGCATGTTTTGGTTTTGGCCCAAAGAGGTTCTGTGCTTCCAGTGCCATATACTATTGTGTTAACCTTTACGTCCTGTCTGGTAACTGAGGTGAAATGACAGGTGTCACGAGGCATCTGCTAAGACAGTTGGGTTCTGGTCAGTGGGACATGTTTTCATTGGCCTTAAAGAGTTACACAGAACCTCTATTCAGCATTTTTCTGGTTTGCGTGGGGACTGCAGTGGCAGCAGTTTTGTAAACAATGCATGGTTTGATGGTTTGTGCAACTAATTTAAGACTTGAGTAAAAACTGCAACTGCTTAAAGCAGTATTAAAAGTGTGTGGTTTCAATGTTTGACCAATGAATTTATATCATTCAGAATAATTGTACTGCATTATCTCTGAAACACTAGTTGTTTTTAACAAACTATAAATAAAATCCCATATTTAACTGCACATTAAGGTAAGGTACACTTGAAATAGTTCCGGTACGGAATTTTGTTAACACACGCCAAAGATTAATTTAGAACCTAATGTCACTCAGATGTCAGAGGTGTCATTTAAGCAGTGGTGATAATGGTTATGCACAGCTTGTGGTTGTGTGATTGTGTTTTGGGCAGACGTACTATATGCTGAACAAACTTTGGCAAAGGTTTGTGGCAAAACAGTGTCAGTTCAGTGAATGAGACTGTAGTCAATGCTTTTGTCAAAAGTCATAGTGCCCTATGCGTTCATGGTTTGTTGCATCTGTGTGAGGTGCTGTATAAAGGTGGTGGCAGGTTTGTTTTAACCCCTGAAGATGGACTTGATTTGAGAACTTTAACCTGCATGAAGCAAAGTGTCCTTTACCATCAAAGTTAAACATACATTTCCCTCTTCAGCCACTCCTGCTCCGGCTGCCCCACAGCCACAGCAGGCAGCTGCTATTGCTGCTAAACCCAAGGGCAAAGATGCTCAAGGTGCCTCTGCACCTAAGGCTGTACCAGGCAGAAGGAAACGCTCTTCCATGTCAGCCTCTTCTGCCTCTCCCACTTCTCCTAAATCTACATCTTCTACTCCTCTGTCACCTGCTCCTTCTCCTCTCGCCACATCCCCTGGTAGTGCCTCTGCAGCACATGGCTCTGCTCCAAAAGTGATCAAGGCTGGTAAACAAGTCAAAGCCAAAAAGGAATTTGTGCCTGCCCCACTCGTAGGATCTCCTGTTGAGTTTAGTGCTAAACCAGAGCCTGAGAAGGTCTCCTCCTCACCAACTGTGAAAAATGTCCTGCCCCCCCCTGCTTTCAAGGTGACCTCCAAGCCTGCAGTGGCTGCACCGATCTCATTTGCAGATACACTGGCAACTAGTCCTCCCAAAGCAGCTGAAGTGAAGGGTTCAGCTAAAGCTGCCGATGATGATCTCCCTCCACTCATTCCTCCCATGAAGCCCCTCAAAGTCCCTGTTCTGCCTTCAGCTGTCGAAGTCCCGAAATGTGCCACTTCTCCACCCAAGTCTTTCCCCATTGAGGCTGTTAAGACGCCACCAATTGTTGGATCTGAGGCTAAACCAATTCTACCTGCAGCTATTCCCATTAACAAGGCTGCACCTGTCCCGAGAGGTGATGCTGTCTTGGCATCGTCACCCAAAGCTGCTCCTGTTGTAAAACCTGACCTAGCTCCTGTTGCCGACCCTGCACCCGCTGAAAAACCTGCCCCAGCTCCTGCTGCTGCACCTGCTTCTGTTGCCGGCTCTGCACCCGCTGAAAAACCTGTCCCTGCTGAAAAACCTGCCCCAGCTCCTGTCGCTGCACCTACCCCAGCTCCTGTCACTGCACCTGCCCCTGCCCCAGCTCCTGTCGCTGTCGCTGCCCCTGCCCCAGCTCCTGTCGCTTCCCCTGCCCCAGCTCCTGTCGCTGCCCCTGCCCCAGCTCCTGTCGCTGCCCCTGCCCCAGCTCCTGTCGCTGCCCCAGCTCCTGTCGCTGCCCCTGCACCAGCTCCTGTCGCTGCCCCTGCCCCAGCTCCTGTCGCTGCCCTGCCCCAGCTCCTGTCGCTGCCCTGCCCAGCTCCTGTCGCTGCCCCTGCCCCAGCTCCTGTCGCTGCCCCTGCACCTGCCCCAGCTCCTGTCGCTGCCCCTGCCCCAGCTCCTGTCGCTGCCCCTGCCCCAGCTCCTGTCGCTGCCCCTGCCCCAGCTCCTGTCGCTGCACCTGCCCCAGCTCCTGTCGCTGCACCTGCCCCTGCCCCAGCTCCTGTCGCTGCACCTGCCCCTGAACCCGCTGAAAAACCTGCCTCAGCTCCAGCTGAAAAACCTGCTGAAGCCCTTGAACCTGCCCCGGCCAAAGCAGAGCCTAAAGTTGACAATGAGCCGAAACCGGTCCCTGTTAAAGCTGTGAAAACACCTTTTGAGGTAGATGAGGCTCCTGTCTTGAAGCCCAATGTTACAGAGGCTAAACCCACCCCTCCCACTGATGCCCCGGTACCTCGCAAACTGACTTTTGCTGAAGCAGTTGCTAAACCTGCCCCAGTTAAGCCTGAGGTAGTCCCTGAGCCTGTCTCTGCACCCAAATCTGCCCCTACAGCTGCTCCTGCACCGGCTAAAGCTCCTGCCAAGGTGGAGCCTGTGATCAAGAATGACCAGGGTATTTCCTTTTTCCTTCTCTGAGTGTCACTGGTTTTCTATTTGTTGTACTGGTAAAAAAAAAAAAAAAAGTTATCCAAAATACTGGGTCAAGTGAGTGAGGTTGTTTTTGAAATGGTATTGCGGTATACGGCTAAAAGTGTGTTTGTGATCGTCGGGTCAGGTAAAATTTCGGTGGATAAATGTTACTTAAAAAGGGCATAGCGGATAATCTGTGTGGTTGTGAATTTTCATGTATGGGCCATGGTAGGAAAGGTATTTAAAATTTTTTTTTTTTAAAGTGACACATGGATACATGTTTATTATAATTTTAACCTGGTTATGTTTGGTTTCCAGGATCAGGCACAGAGTCGGACAGTGATGACTCTGTCCCTGAGCTGGAGGAGCAGGACTCTGCACAGACACAGACGCAGCAGGCCCAGGTGAGTGCTCCTGTTAAACTTCACTATAGTAGCTCTTCTGTGATGTTTTACAGTGACTTTCGTTCTTCTGAGTTTTCCTGAAGCCACCATTACTGTCCTGAGAAGAGACTAGTTGATGTTGATCTGTTTAGAATATTTGTAATTCATTTGTGTACTAGAGAACTTATCAAGTGGAATATCTTTACAGCTTGCAGCAGCAGCTGAAATAGACGAGGAACCAGTCAGCAAAGCCAAACAGAGCCGCAGTGAGAAGAAGGCACGAAAGGTAAGTTGTCTTTTCTTTTTTTTCTTGTTGAGATGGGACAAAAGCAAAAAATGTTTTGTTTTTTTTTTACAGATGAATTTACAGAATTTTTAGCTGTTATTTTAAACTTTGACATTTGAGCTTTCATTGTCAGTTGTCTTTTTTTCTTAGAGAATTGGTGAACTTTAACATTTTTGTCTTGCAGGCCATGTCGAAGCTTGGTCTCAGACAGGTTACAGGAGTCACCAGAGTTACTATTCGCAAGTCAAAGAACATCTTGTTTGTCATCACCAAACCAGATGTATACAAAAGTCCTGCGTCAGACACATACATTGTCTTCGGTGAAGCTAAGGTGCTTGTCTTTTGATGACTTGTAAATCCTAACAAAATGTTTTACAGAGTTTTAATTGAAAGACATTTTGAAATTCCAAACAGATTGAAGATCTCTCTCAGCAAGCCCAACTGGCTGCTGCCGAGAAATTCAAGGTACAGGGAGAAGCTGTCTCAAATATCCAGGAAAACACACAGACGCCCACAGTACAGGAAGAGAGTGAGGAAGAAGAGGTGAGTTAAGATGTGTATACATATGTGATTATATGATATGACATAAAGGCATTAAAACAATGTTTCTTTTAAGGTTGATGAGACTGGCGTTGAAGTTAAAGACATTGAACTCGTCATGTCACAAGCAAACGTGTCGCGGGCGAAGGCTGTACGCGCCCTAAAGAACAACAACAACGACATTGTCAATGCTATTATGGTACGTTTTGGGGTTATTGACACTTTATACAATATTCAACACTTTTCTGTGATGATTAACACAGTGACTTTCGTTCTTCTGAGTTCACTGAAGCCACCCTATCTGTCCTGAGAAAATCTGTGCCAAAGACTGGGCAAAGGGAAGCTTACACAAAACTAATTTTTTTGTGTGTTTTTTATCTTGCAGGAGTTGACAATGTAATGGGACTCCAACTAAAAGTTGAAGAAATGTTGCTGATTAAATTTAAGCTCGTTTATACAATTTATACCCAAGATGGAAATAAAATTGTGGCTTGAAAAATCTCTCAATGTTATGAGTTTTCATTAAGATGTAATGTATTACAGCAGCCTTCCTTTATCAAATGAGTAGTGTAATGTAAAATGTGTGGAAGAGTAAACTTAAGATTTTCTACTTAAATGACACTAACACATTAAAATGTTTTTGTAAAAAAGCACTGGATTCTTACTCATATTGTAAACGATACTCCAACAAACATAATAGTGGACTTTACATATAGTCAGTGAGTGGGTATACATGCACATCAGCATCCAGGTTATGGGGTTATTTGAACATTCCGGTTTTGTCATGGTGCATGAATACGCTGTATCCCAAATACAGCAATAACAGATACTGATGTGCATTTACATGCACTAGTGTAGGGTGGGTAGAGTTCCAGTAAACTGCACTATGTTTGCATCATTTCAATTTTTTGCTGTAGATTTGAATTTAATGTATAATTTTGACCAGGGGTGTCCAAACTTTTCATCAAAGACCACATATCTAAACAGAGACGAAGCATTGGGCCGATCAAGTGCCATAGACTGGTGCTCAATACAGTAAATAATTGAAATATGCACATGTTTAACATGTTAGAATGAGCCATCAGACTTTATTCATGCTAAGATCCTTAAAACTGCACACTAAATATTCAATATTTGCTTTATCAAGATAGATTTTCAAAAAACTTGTAGTAAAAGATTTTTTTTTTTTATTGATGCAAAATAATTTGGGCCAATTTACCCGGAAGTCTGAGGGCCAAGAAAAAATTGTCTGAGGGCCGCATTTGGCCCCCGGGCCACAGTTTGGACATGCCTGATTAAAAATTTACCTGTTAAGTATTGCACAGTTTACATTTTAACTTCCATACACCAATACTTAAGAATGACCGTACTCATATGTAGAGCTCTAAACATCATCCTCAGCTGCGGATCTGAAAGCTCTAGAAACGTCTGCTACGCCTAAATTACGTCCTGGCGTCATTCTTGTCCTCAGATACGCACCAAGATCCGGAATTGAGTCCACGGTCTGAGAGAAGCGTCTGCACTTTTCTTCTTTCTGTGCGAACTACCCGTGTTTCTTCAAATCGCTGTTCGCTGCAAAGAGGAAGCCGCCTTCAGATACAGCCATGTAAGTTTGCTAAAGTAACGGATGACGTGAATCTCGGGGCAGAAACGTGTAGTGTAGCTTGTGAGGCTAATAAAGTGGTAGCGTAGCGGTACACACGCTTACTGAAGGCGGGAGGATGGATGGCCTTACGAGAGGATAACACAGGATAGGGCGCTGAAAACGTGATTTAAAATGAATGAAAACATATAAAAACTTATAGTAGGGGAACACGACCCATTATTTACAATAATGCATTAGTAGGTTTTGCTTTCCGTTTCTATTTAGATCAATGTGTACCGCGTGCTTAAACTACTAGTGGCTAACAACAGTACTCGCTCGCTTTACTCAATTACATTTTTCTTATACAAGAGCAGATCCCTTATGTAATTATCACGCACTGACATTCCTAAACACTACCATGGGAGTAAATATAGATGTAAATGTTATTATTCTTTACAAACTTAAATAGGCGTCCATCACTAACCTGCACGAGGTTACACTGCCCTCTCTGGACCAAATAATGTAGGTTAACAGAAGAGAGTTATGCTGACTTAATTACTATTAGTATTTAAGTCAAATGCAACACATTTATTTTATACCTCTCATTCACACCTTCACTCTAATATTATGATCACCAGTAGAGAATATATTTATTTTAATGTAAGTCCAGCGATGTGGTGTCCAAAACCAATCTTGTATGCATGTTTCACTTTTATTTTTTTTTTGTCAGTGATCACTAACAGATGTCATTATAGCGTCACATGAGCACAATGGTAACAAGACACGAGCCAGAAACTTAATACAAAGACTGTCTGATTGCAAGCTGTTATGCCTGAGCATTTGGCTACTTGCAGGAGTGGGCAATATTGACTAAAATGAATATTTCAATATATTGGGGGGTTATTTCAATAATAATATTTTCACTTGCCCCAGAAATGTGCTAGAATGTGCTTATTCAACTTTTATTCACTGTTCCATGTTGCACCATATAACCACAGCACATTCCTACTATGTGAATTTTGTTCAGAGATTTGCAATTACATTTTTCTGATTACATATACCCTGAAATTAAATTTCATAATCAATTCCAATTTTTAATAGCCTGTAGAGAGTAAGCCCGATGTTCTAATTTTGCAAATCTCCAACAGTCGTGATCTCTATACTTTCCCTTGCCTCTCTTTGTAACCATTTGCTGGTGACCATGTGTATGTTACCGTATGTTTAGTTAAATTGCTCATGATTGTGCCCTGTATATGCATATTTTTCGGTTGGTACTGACAACACAATTAACAAGCTTATTTTCCTCTACAGGCATCCGGCATCCGCTAAGTGGTACGACAGGAGGGACTCTGTTTTCATAGAGTTCTGTGTAGCTGACAGCAAAGATGTCAAGGTCAATTTTGATAAAACAAAGTGTGGTTTCAGGTACGTGTCAGAGATTGTGATTTTAAAAAAATAAATTAAATAATTTTGCCATATAATAACATGTACTATTATTTTTTTTCCCAGTTGTGTTGGAGGAAAAGACGATGTCAGGCACGAGAATCTAATTGACCTATTTGAAGCCATTGATGAAAATGTACGCTGTGTAAATTATCTATACCCTCTAATAATGTTTAATGTCTAATTACTAACTTTTGTTGTGCTTTCTATCCACCGGAATGCAGGAATGTAAGCATAGACGTACAGATCGATCAGTTTTGTGCTATTTACGAAAAGCTCAGCCTGGGACCCCTTGGCCAAGGCTAACAAAAGAGAAAGAAAAGGTAAGTATCACTATAACGATTCAGTCATTACAATAGGTAACTGTTATTCAAAATTCAATATTTATACTTGCATGTTTAGCTTATTTAAATTTTTTAGATGATGGGATAATGGAAAATTGTAATGTATTTTTGACAGCTCACATGGCTTAAAGTTGATTTCAACAATTGGAAAGACTGGGCTGATGACTCTGATGAGGAAAACTACGATCAATTTTCAGATGTAAATTTTAATTTCAGAATTGCTCAAAATGTTAATCTACATAATGCACCTTTTGGATGACTTTTCATTGTTTCACCTGAATTTGTTTACAGTTGATGCACAACATGGATGGCGAGGATGACATTCCAGATCTAGAAGATGTAAGACATTTTCATATCTGATTTGACTCATTTATCGCCATTTAATACTTTGTAATAATAATATGTCATTTACATAATGTGTTTAATAATTATTGTTTTGTGCTAACTGTTTTTATGTTCTGTGCAGGAGGACAGTGATGATGAGAGTAAGTAGCTACTCATATCCAAAATTGTAACATTGCTTCCTCACAAGTTATTAATGTTTTGCAATATGTTTTACAGAATTGCCTGATTTGGAATAGTCTGCTGTATAATTGCAAGAAGACAAAATTAAAGAACTGACGGCAGGAGGCACACACATTGAAAACAACTGTACATACATCTGAGTCAGTAGCCATATTTAATGAATAGTCTTCAGATTGTGTAAAGATCAGTCACTGAAGGTTGTTGCATGGTTTTGTACAGAGCAGCTATCTCCACTTCCATTCGCTGTACTGCACCTTTTGGGTATCCTCTTTTACTGTTAGCCATCATAACAACTAAGCACACATTAACAAATACATACAAATGGTAGTGTTGTTTGCAACCAAGCAATATGTGTAATTTACATTTTTCTAATTTTCTCATTTTCTCGTTTTATATTAAAAGCTTTGCCCATTCCAAAAGACGTGGTTTTAAATTGATAAGAGTAGTTAATGGCCATGAAAGATCCTTGTATCCACCCAAAAAGTCTAATGAACTTTGTTGATAAGATTTCTCAATAATACATTTATTATCAATTGGGTATCCAGAAGGCCAGTAATTATTGCTTACATGTATTTCTTCATTTCTGTTTGATGTGTTTGTAAAACATAGTTGCATTTTCTGATATCAGCTTTGGTATTTATGTTGAGCATCTAATCTTTATCCTTCCAAACTCATGAAACATGCACTAATGTTAAGACTGCAGGGTGTAGTGATGTAATGCAGTAATGCAGCTTAAGACAACTGTTGGGATGTCAGCAGTGTATAGTTTATTGCTGTTCTTGAAGTTCATTTTACCAGAAGACCGTGTTCATAATCTGATGTGTAACAACCCAGTTATGTCAATAAAATGTGAGGGGATTCAATGTAACTTTTCAGTGAACAATTCTTTTTTTTTTTATTGTCTACATCTTTCTAATAAACTGTTTATGAAATTATTTGAATGCCTGTTATTTTCCACCTCATATACAGTATGTTCTGAATGAGACTGAAGTGCTAAATTTGTGTATGGATGTAATGGGGAATAAGTATTTGCTCTGGAGTTTTATTTATACTTGTACTGAAAAATATATAAAGAAAAACTGCTCTGAAAATTAATGCCCCAGTATACAACTTTTTTGCTCAATAAGACTAAAATAAAAGCATGTTTTTTCATAATGGATGAGCTCACTGAAAAACAGAAAAATGTGTATAATATTACAGTATGGCATCAAACACATCTAACTCCATAGAGAATGTTCCGAAGTATGGTTTTAACTTTACATAAAATCATGCATGACTTTCAACCCTAGAATGTTGCATTCTATCACTTTAAGGTCTCTAACAAAGTCACAAATCCAGAGTAGATACTTGGATCCAGGAGAGAGAGAAAAAGAGAGAGCACTTGACTACTAGTGACTACTACTATTTAAGCTTAAATAAAACCTGTGCATAAAATAAAACAATTTATAACAATAGCATTATGATGATGATAATAATAATAATAATAATAATAATAATAATAATAATAATAATAATAATAATAATAATCATTCTGAATCTGAATAACTTTCATTCATTTCCCAGCATAAATGATTTGTTCTTATTAAATAATTATTTATAATAATAACAATAATCATTCATTCATATTAAAAAGAAAAGTTAAAAAGTATGATTTAATATTGTGAAAAGGGTTAAAGTGAGCCGGATGCGTGTGAGCTTATAGTGTGGAGTTTACATGCCACTGCTCGCTCTGCCTCAGCCTGTTCTGTGATCATGGCTGGACTGGACCACACCAGCCATGTTTGCTAATTTAAACCTCAAAGGCTAGAGAATAGTTGTTTAGTATTTATCTCCTGGTCATCTGTACTCACGGAATATATTATTAGATGAGTAAGAAGTCACCGGCGCCTGTGGATACCAAGGGCTGAGAGGTTTGAGGCATTTAATTTACGTAAAGCGAAACTTCAGGCGGTGTGGGAGGAAGATGCTCTGAAAATTGTGTGCGTGCACCGTAAACAATGTAACTTCATCAGCACGCTAGCTAACATTAGCCATTGAACAAAAGGGAACTGACTCATTATACAGTTGCGTGTGAGTCCCAAGTAAGTTCACTGTTGTTGACTTTTACCATGCCGGCTGATATATATTGTAGTTTAGGGGGCTCTCTGTTGCCCGGTAGAGTCCCAGCGTGGTTGTAGTACCTATTACCTGGCTGTGAGCTATCAACGCCGCTGTACTTCTGCTGCTAGCGTTACTCATTTTAGGGATGCTATCGGCTAGCCATCACGCTAACATCTGTGAGCTAGGATCTATTGTGATCATTCAGCCTAATAACCTTGATGGGAGTGTTTTTGAGTGATATGGTTTGAGTACTTACACAGTTTATTTGAACTAAACACATATTATATGTAAAATGCTGGAGATTCGACAATGAGAGTAAGTTATTACATGTTAGCACAACTGTGTAGCCGAGGCTTATCTAAGGTTAAGTAAATTGTTCATTTGGAGAAAGACGCTAGCGTAAGTTGGCTAACACACCGCTTCCTTCTGCAAAGGCCTTGTTCTAATATGAAACCGCATATTATTATTAGATTCGGTTTTAACTAGGAAAATATCTTATAACTCTGTAGAAAAACTGTAATATATAGGTAAGACAGCTTAGCCGGTTCCAGGGTACACTGTGTTGCGCTTGGGCCGTACATTTGTGATGGTGGACTGGGAGGCAGTGTGCTAGCCGCTCATCAACGCTAATGAACAGCTTCTATCGTAATATTCAGTTTGTCCAATGCTCGGGCCTGGCATCTACTGAAGTGGCTGCGACATTTTGAGAAATGGTGTTGATGCACTTTACACTTAGCCATTATTGCTCATATTTGTAAACTAAAGTATTCATAGCAAGTGTGAATTTTAACTGTTGACATGCGCAATTTCTTTTTACATGTGCGTTTATGTCTGGCCTAAGCGTTTTACATAATGCGTATGAAGAGAGGGGGTAGGCACAGACAAAAATACACTAACATCAGTTGCTCTTCTCTTTCTAGATGGAGGCAAATAATCATTTCAACTATGGCTCCCACTCCTCAGCAAACTCAGGACTGAAACTCTCCTCAGGGGAATCTCCATACACAAACGGGTCCTCCACGAGTTTCCCACAGCAGGGCAAGAGTAAGCTGCTTTTGTGTTTTATATTTTTACTGTGTAAAAGTAAACACATTATAAACATCATTAAAGTTTTGTGTTGATGCTTAGTATAACAAAATGCACCTCATATCTTTGGCAGACCTGAATGGGGAACTAAATGTGAATGGCATCTCTACTGTAGTTGGATCTGGTGTGTCTGGTCCCCAACAGCAAACCGCTTCTTACCCACATTTGAGCAACCTCCATCAGAGCAGCCGTGGCTATGAGTACCTGTGGGGAGGACACCCTC